CCCCCCCTTTCACAAAAAAAAAAGAATTCGCTCAGCCGACTCGTTCACAGTGCCCCCGCGCGTCTGTCTTTTGCAGGAAGCGAACCTGGTGTCAATTGACGTGGCGCCGTCACGCGGTTTCTGCTGACGGGGCGATCCATTCGGTGGGGGGAGACGCTTCTGTTGGTGGCGCAGGCCGGGCCGGACGGCCGCGGGCGCTGTTGGATGCGCTGTTGGATGCGCGCGCTGTTGGTGGTCTGGGGGCGGTTTCCCTTTTTTCTCTGGTAGCGAGCTCCTTTGCGTATTTGAATGCTGACCACCTCGTCGGATTGTTCATTTATTTAGCCTGAGACTGGAGTTGAGCTGCGTGTGCGCTTTGGTGCTGTGAGAGGTGCTGCTTTGCGTAGATTGGTCTTTGAAGGAGACGACTGAGTTGATGATTTGGGGACGTGTCGAGCCCTTGCAGATGATCTATTCGTATCGCCTGTGGCCGATATTGAATTCTCCCAAACTGTTGGTTCTGGTCTCATTGATGCTGTCTCTCGTATTACTGTGCGCGTCATTCCTTGGATGTCATTTATGTAAGGATGACGTTAGGGTTCTGTCTGTATCGAGCCCTTGGATCACCAAGCCATGCTGTCGACGCCAACAATGGTTCCTCGTTTCATGGTGTTGAATATTCAAAGGTCAACACCCGAAGATGCCTGTCATCGACCTGATGCGGTCCGGATCGCGGCTGCTCCGCTGCAAAGAGTCGTGAACCGCAAAGATCTATGCCAATGTGACCGAAAAATGCTTCTCAGAGGTACAATACAGGCGATGCCCTGATTGAAAACGTGGACATGCTTGTTGCAAGTAGTAGGACAGAGTGCTGAAGCATCATCTAGCTTGGACTACACTCATCCTTCCTAGCATTGATGACATCCACTTTACAGGAGACGTGAGAGAAGCCTTCCATCGTGGACGGCTGCCGCGAGGCTGTCCTCCCTATCCGCAACCATCGGGGCAACTGCAATATTCGAGGGCCCAAGTCCACCCATCAGTGACGTATCGGAGAGGCTGCAGCCTCTTTCCCCTCTGGAAACCCTGAAACATGAGGATCTCTGTCTGGCAACGCAGAAGACGAAAATAGCAAAAGGCTTCGAATCGATGACAGTGATGAACTAGGCACTACTGTGAGGGAAAAAGGCTACATCCGGAGAAAAAGCAAGCAGAGAGGCTATGATGGCATGAGATGCAAATCCGGTCCGCACCGCTTAATGCGAGGCATTGCAATGTGAAACATATCCGCGTGGAACCACCCGTCTCGACCGTCATCACGTCAACCTCTCCGGAAGCAGTTCCTCTACCATACTGCTTGTGAAATCGTGCATGAATCTCCATCCGACAACATCTTTGAGTTGTGTCTGGGCCCTCTCTGATTCAGAACGACGGGCAACGCCGAGGACCCCGTAAGGCAGACACAATTCTTGGCGAGACGACTGGTCCCACCCCTGCTCAGCGATCAGCATCACAGCCAGCGAATCTACCCCAATGTTTGGAACCGAGCCTTTACACGAGACGCACAACACCAAAGGCGGCCTTGTTTTCTGGTTACCCCTGAAAATATGTCCAAAAGGATGCCATCCTCATCGCAACTTTTGAACCGACCCACCTTTTAGGTCCCTGATGATGGCATGACCAGTTACCCACACCGACCATACAGCCACAAAAGATCCAAGTCTAGACCTTTCGCCTTACAAGCCCCCTCCAGAAGTCAAAGCTGTTCTCGTCGCTTTGCAAGGCCCACGTCCGCCCGGTTTCCCGTCCCGTAACCCCATCAACCTCGACGGCTTTCAACATGCCCCAATCCTTCGTGATGCCAACCACTTTGGCCCGGACACCCTCTTCCTCGAGCGTCACCAGTTGCCCCGAGTGTAGCCAGTGCTTATAGTAGCGGTTTTCCAGGTTGGAGTCAAATCCGTTGCGGATCCAATGAGAGTGCAACGATTCCAGCCGAGTGAGAATCCGCGCGAGGAGCTTCTCGAGCCGGAAAGGGGCAAGGTTCGATGGGAGAAGAGCATTGAGAGATGTAGTGGGCCGAGCATTCGTCGCATTGATGCCGATGCCTAGCACGAGAGTGTACGCACCACCGGTGTAGGAGCATGTAGATAAGATTCCGCCAATCTTGACATAGGAAGGATTCGAGGCTGAGGATTTAGGATCGCGCGCGTCTGGATGTGGTTAGTGACCAAAGGCAAACGTATTCAGGGGCACACGCACATATGTCGTTGGGCCATTTGAGCTTGACAGGTACATCGTCGTAACCCAAGTCATACGATTTGATGGCCTCGACTATGGCAACAGCAGTAAGGTACTGGAGAAACACGATTGGTCGGGACCCGAGGAGGTGCGCCGGGTGATTGATCACTGTCGAGAATACGAGGGTGCCGGCAGGACAAACCCAAACATTGGAACCACGGCCGCGCGCTGCAACTTGTGTCGCGGCAGTCAGGGTGAAGCCAGTGGGTAGCTTTGACAAAAGTTTCGGGTTCCTGAAAAGTCAGTTTGGAGACATTTATCCGCGAATGGGGGTCACGCACTTGTCCATGATGGTGTTGGTGCTCGTCGTAGCATCTGCGTACATTAGAGTGTTGCCCCACTCAGACGCATGTTCCTCCATCTGCTGGTAGGCCTTGAGGCACCCGTAGTAGAAGCTATGCTGGAACGCAGGGGTAATCTCGTCTGAGGGCCAGGCGCGCTCATATGGCACGATCTCCTTGATGACGTCGCTATAGTCGATGTATCGTCCATCGGCGGAGAGTTTTCCCTTCGCGGGATCGTCGGGGTTGGGAAGGGCCTCTGCAAGGGCTTTCATCGACCACTTGCCATCCCGATCGATATGGAATGTGTCGGCCTCGTCGCGGATATACTCTTCGTTGTCTTCAAGCGTGACAACATCACCGAGAGCGTGGATCAGCTCCTCGACCTCCTTGTGGTTGACAGAGGTTAGGTGCATGGCTGTGAGGGACGGGATATCGGCATCTTCATCATTGACTTCGAGTCCAAGCTTCCGGAGGCATGCCTTGATGAAAGCCGATCGTGGCAGGTCGTCCTGCGTGAGATTCTCGATGAGCTGATCGTATCGAGGGTTACTGGGGATGCGATGGAGGTTGGCGGCAGCAAACCTGACCGGGTTAGCACAGTACCACCCACACGCGATGGGGAAACAGCCTACTCGGGATGCGGTCCCGTGAGGACAACGCCGCCATCGCCAACCTTGCAATACACAACAGCCGCCTGACCGTCGCCGCCATCCACGTCAATATCACCGGTGTAGCTCGCCAACACCTCTACCCCCTTGTCCTTCAGCTTGGCAGCATCAACAAAGACACCCCCACCATTGTAATACGACTTTGTCCTCTTCGGCGCACCCATGTTTTCGGTGAATGCCCCTTCCTCGACGGAGATCTCGACCGCCTGTGCCCCGTCTTCGGAGTGGTACCGAAACCCCGCAAAGGCACCGCCTCGACACGTTCCGGGGAAGAACCCGAGTTCTCGCCTCCCTACGACCTCCATCCCCTTCTCGCTGCTGCCGACCTCGAACTCGCATCGCGAAGAGCCAAAATAGCCCCCGGCGCAGAAGCCCAGGAAACGTCCGCCTCGGCGCACAAAGTCAGTGATGCGGCGATTTCCCGCGCCGTCGAGCACGCGACAGTAGCCGAGATCGCCTCCGCCAGGGAGCACGAGGAGGGCGCAGGTCTGAGCCCAAGGCTCCTTGAGGAGAGCAGACTCGGTCAGGGGCGTGACGGCGTAGTTCGGGTGCAGCAGGCGGCGCAGTGTCATGAGCGCATGACGCACACACTCGGCCGTGGTGCCGGTACCTGAATGTGTGTCAGTGGGGCCAGGAGTGAAGGGGCACAATGGCGGGGCAGGGGTGTGCAGACCTGTGTACACAAGCACATTGAGCTTGCGGGAGGACATTTTGAGGTGCCCGCGGCCGGTGCGGAGAGAAGGTTGTGGTATGCTGGTGTGTCGCGAGGAAAAGGTGGTGTTGAAGCTCGTCTCAACAGAAATGAGTCTCAAGTGAGAGCTGCGACACCGGGCAGTGACCCCCGATAGTGCCTGCCCGTGCGAGAAGGAACGCCGGCACCAGCGGATTGCGGGGCCTCGCGTTGTCGCTGCCACTTTCAACCTCGACACTACAACTAGCACAGCAGCTCACACGATATACCTGCGAACGATTCAGTAGTCGCCATGTCCAAGCAAGAGAGCAACGCC